ACATCATTATGAAGTAATTGGCGAGAAATGCAATGAGTAAGAGGTATATTGTAAAACCCCGAAATTTTACAAATATGATACGTAGTATATATCGCAACTTAAGAAGCTTTTGAGTCTATTAACATGATTTTAGAGAGATTAGGAGCCTAAGTGCGAATTAGAAAAATCATCATGTTGGTTGAAAATATATTATTATACTATGAATTATAAAACCGAGAGATTATTACTCGAGAAAAATCGAGTTTTGAGTAATTTAGCAAATTTTAGAAAATTTAAGGACTAAAGTGAAAATTATAGAAAAAACTTAAGAATTATGATTTTAAGACTTTATATTGTTGCTTTGATGTCTCATAATGAGAATAATCTATTTTATGAGCTCAACCCAAGATTGGGCCTAACTGCAAACAAGTACAAAGTTTATGAATTAGATTGCAAATGGGAAAATATATTTTCAGATGAGAATGTGACAAGTCAAGATTATTTAGTGTTGAGAAGGATCAGCAGATGATAAGGATTTTGATTTGGACAATTTTTGATAATTTTGAAATGTTAAGGGACTAAGTTGAAAATAAGTTTTGACGTCAACATTTAATTAGGTTGGTTCAAATAATGAAGCATTGACGGAGTGATAATTACCCTACCAATGTTGGTCTCATTTTCTATGCTCACATTAAATGACGAATCATGGACAAAAAATAAAAAAAGGTTTTCAGGTAAACTAAAGTAAACTACTTCGCCGATAATATCATAAATCAAATTCGATTCAGAGGCAATTAAAGTAAACTACTTCCCCAATAATATTAATTTTCAAATCAGACCAAATTACTATCATATTAATGTTGGACACGTTTTCAAGCTTGCATTAAATGGTGTATTATGATTTCGAGAGAAAAAAAAAAAGTTATTTTGGATAAGAACAAATGAATCGGCGACCTAATCTCTCGGCAAATCAAAGTCGGCAGCATGAACAAACAAATCATACATGTAGGGATTGCTTGCAAAATATCCTTAATCATAATTCCCAGCCCCCCAGCTGAAAAAATAGATTCCGGCTCCACCCATTGACCCTCTTCCATATCCGCTCTTCATCGTGAAAAATGTTCGGCTGTTGTTCATGCCCACTGTTGTGATTATCCCCAGATATACATCATAGGATTGTACAAAGGGGAGTCCAAGAAGCAGTTGGACAAGGA